ACTGGCTTGATTCTGCAGTGGTGCCTTGATTGTGTGAAAGTTAAGGGCAGTTCAGGGAGTTTTAAGTTTTAAGAAGGGCATTTAAGGGCATTTAAACCTCGAACTGGAATTTAAAGGATTTCCAAAACGCCCCACAGGCTAGGGAACCCTCGACTAAATGCACGATCACTCATAGTCCGGCAGCGCAGTCATTGTCCCAGTCTCGTGGTCTTGAAGAAGCATCTTCAAAACTTTGGCCCGGAGCTGTGAGCTCTGTGACGGGGCTCCCAGAAGGGCCGACCGCAGTTGGTGGCCAATGTATGAGACGATCCGCTCCAGGCAAGTATCTGGCGGTGTCGTGCCAGGAGAGCGGCTATCCGCCCGCATGTGGCAGCTGAACTCGTACAGCACCTCCTTCCAGCACATGCCCCGGCAATGAAGTCAGTCAGAAAACCAGTCCTCCTCCGCCGTTTTTTTGGGTGTCGGTCTCACCCGCCGAATCGATCGGATCGGCCCCTACACATGCCATGGCCCAGGAACAACTTTCAACCAGGGGTCACATGAGAAAAATGGTGGTGACACAGGATCGTGGCGGTGGCGGCCCCTGAGTCCCAACTACCAGCAGTACTACATCAAAAACCACCCCCAAACATCCAGAACAAACGAGAGGTCCAATTAGGTACCTGATGGCGAGGCGGTGCAGGGGGAGTCAGGAGGTGAGGATGCTCGCGCTGCCCCAAAAATCAACACCGTATAGACGACAAAGGCTAGGGGATTAAACCACGCACGACTCGATTGATGACAAACCACCCGCGCCTTCCCCAGCCCCCCCCCCACCCCTGGCCACATCCCTTGACCATCAATTCAATTCAATTCAAACATGCTGGCAACATGCTGCATGCAGTTAACAATGCCACAATTCACAACTCTATCAGGGCAATTGTGATGCCAAGGTAAACAATGCAAGTCACCAGCTAAGTCATAGGTTAGAGGGAGGCACCAAGGGGCCATCAATCAGTTGCGACTAAGTGACTAAGTCTGACTAAGTATGAATCCTAGCGACACAACTCTACTTGGATTAGCTGGCATTTTTTTCGATTGAACCCAAGCCTAATTGCTTTACTGGGCTTGGCTCACGATCTGAATCTTCTTGATTGGTCATAGCTTTTGCTAAAGAACTACACTATGACTCTGACTCTGACTATAACTCTTGGTCCCTTGGTTCTTGCTCTTAAAAAAATGCTGCTCCCAAAGCCAACCAACATGCTCACACTCATTAGAGGCCAAGTCAAACATGGAAAAACAATCAGCCCTCCCCGTTTCTTTGCCCAAAGCACCAAATTTAAACAATGCGTGCTGTACACATAGTCGTGACTCATGATCCAATCCATCCCCCCCATCAGCACCCCTTCTGAAGTTGGACAGCTTACATATATTATAGACTTTACAAAGGACCAAAGCGACCAAAGTAACCAAAGCAATTTCTTTTAAAAAAGACACCCAACAGCAGGCAATCACACTTGATCCTTGGGTTCCCGACGCAACCCGTGCGTGTAGCAGCCGCGCCAGCAGCGCGCAGCAGCCGCCAGCAGCGAGCAGGGGTCAGCTAGCTACAGTAACCAAGTGTCTGAAGAAAGTGTTTGCCCCCAAAAACTTTCGAGGCTTCACATCACATCCCCTGCCAAAAGATTAGACCATCTCACCTTCTTTTCAGTGACCTCAATACAATGTTTTTTTGGCACCACCCATCCATGATGGCCGGGCCATGGGCCATGATTATGATTCCATTTTGAAAATAATAAAATAAGGTTGGTCCTACAGCCTACACCAAAGAGGTCACTTTGAGCCATCATTTAAAGAGTCAGGGCCAGGGTTGCCCTACCCAGCAGATCCCTCCCAGTCTGGCCAACTCGAGCGACGGCGACACGCGAATGACACGCGCTGGGGGGCGGGGGGCTGGCACTAGCGTAAGTGACCTTTTCAAGACCTCGATTCGCACAATGAAACGCTTTGACACTCCCAAAATGCCATGTTCGGGCCATTCCGGGTTGGCCCCAATCAAATGCAATGGCGGGCCAATGTCATCAATCATCAAGCCAAAACAGGGCACTTAGCAAATGAATCAAAGGGACAGCCGCTGATTCAAAAACATGTCAAGTGCCCTTGTTTGAAGGGATTGGGCCTGGGATTGGGGACAAAAATATGCCGGAATGCAGAATGCATGTTTTAGTCATGGACTCGATGCTGTCGATGCTAGACTAAACCCTAAACCCAGGAAAGTGGCTGGGAACTGCATGACATGTGACAACGTTGTACAAGTTGTATATATGAAGCTCGAGGCTGAAGCCAATTAGGTCTTCAGCTTTTGACCCAGAATCCATCTCCTAGCCTGTTTGAAATCCCGGAGCCCTGGTCACAATCCACAATCTTCACATGTCTGAATAGCCCTACTTGTTCTGAACAAACTTGTTCTGGTTGATGATCTGCCCACACCATCTCTACAACCTGCCCTGACGATGCCAATAATTAACATAAAAGGTGCTGTGGCGATGTCTGCCGCACATCCACCAACTCCTCCAGAACCTCGGCATCCTCTGTGGCCACCGAAGAGGCAGAGGAGGACGTCGCCATGAGCAGCGAGTGGAATAGGGTTACCGGGTTACCCTCAAAGTTCTGAAGCGTTTGCTAGCACTGTGCAAAAGGAGCCTCAGCCTGATCGGAATCCTGGGGCCTACTCACAATGTGCAATCTGAATCTGCTTAATCCTTGTTCTGGCTGGAAACACCTGATCTGCAATCCATGCCGCATGCTGCAAATTGGTCTAAACCTCATCATGCTGCAGCATCGAAGATCCATGCAAAACATCATGCAACCCCTATTCTGTGAACAACTTACTGGTTGTGTCTGCAATCTGCTACTTTGGGCAAAGACTTGGGGGGATTGGCCGGCCAGAGTCCTGGAAACTAAAAGGAACACAGTAATTTGTGAGGTTCCCCACATTTCCCCACATGTCATGTCACATACCCTACTTAGGAATAGCTCCCCACAAATTAGGAACAATTTAGAAATAGTTCTGTGTAATCTAGAAATAGTTCTGCAATATGGCAACCTCCCTCACAGAAGACCAACATAAAGAGGCCGAGGCCACTCCCAAAAAGAGAGTCCAAACTGTGTTGTTTACCACTAGAACCCTGAGCTTCAAACCACCAGTAAAGCAATGGGGGTTCCTACAAGGAAACATGGTCTTTCCTTAAAGTGCAGGAACTCCGGGGGGGGTGAAATCATGATTCCCCGAAAAAGAATCCTTCATTTTCGAAACCCGGGCTTCGCCATCCCTGTAGCCCCTCAGATGTGTTGGCCATGGCACACAGACCACAAGGCTGCAAGGAGAAACAAGCAATGGACATGGGAAATAAGGGTTCGCAGAATCCGTCTGGTGTTTGTTGTAAAACACAAATGGCATGTCCTCAACCCAAATGGACCATATACATAGACCTCATATTTTGCATGGATGCGTCTTTCTTTAATGCTACTCCTGGGCTAGTGAACCAACGGAAAGGAATTGACACGCAAACGGCCCATGTTGGACCGGTCCCTTGGATGTCCACTTTCTATGGACCCCCAAAAAAGGGGATCCCTCATTTAGCCCTGGCCTCACGGGCTTCTCCTTGGCTTATCTAGGGATAGCCGCCCCCCCCATAGTTTCGGAGAACCCCCATAACCTCCCCCATGGCACCTCCTATACCATAGAGCCCCCCCCCATTCAACAACTGCATGTTGGTGGCTGGATCCATGGGGTTTAGATCCATGACCTTTGAAAAATATGGCGCGCACACATGAATACATTTTAGTCTATGGGCCATAGCTTCCCCCCAATGAATCAACTTTTGAGGGGCTTCCAACTCTGCAAACTCCTTGCCCGGCGACCAGACCGCTCTCTCCACTCACCGCTCTCTCGACCCCTCCTGCAAGAGTTGACGCAGGCCTTCCCGACGACCTCTTGGAAGGAATTGGATCCCGGCAGCCCGGACGTGTTCTGTTTTTTTGGAACGCCTCCCTACACAAATGAAAGGAAGGAGCCCTAAAAAGGGGGCTCCACGTGTTGCCAGCAGCAATTCCGTTTCGACAAAAAATGCTGGTTGCTTTCTGTATTTTCGGGCACCCGAACGCTGTAGTTTGCAGGGGAGTACTAATCCAAAACCTGACATAAGGGATCGACCTATATGAAATTCGCTCGTTTCCCCCAGAGCTCGCCCAAACACCGGACACGATGTCCGATAGGTACTGTAGCGGGTGGAGCCAGGGGGACCTTTTGGATAACATCGCGCGATGAATCATTTGCTTGTTCGTCCCCCGGAAAAGATGAGAACATATTTCCAGTAATAAATTCCCTGCAAAAATAACATAAATATTCTGAAGCAAATGGAAGAACGTCTTCATTTTCATCCCTTTCGAGGCTCAACTGGGAAATGCCAGTTGACTGGTATGGGTCGTTCAGCGCCTCTGGACACTTTCGACGGGGGTCGTCGAATGGCACAGCTCACCTTCTGCTGGCCGTTTTTAGTTGGCTTTGGCTCAAAAACATGTGGCTGTGGCTCAAAAAAGTGGTATCAACATGGCACCTTGGTCAATGGCACCAATGACTAAAATCCGCGTAACCTAACCCCAGCTGTTTAATTTTGAGCCATACCCATGTGCCAAAATCGCACCTTGATATAGCAAGTGGAACCAAAGACTAAAACCTGCGTAACCCTAGCTCTTTACTTTTGATCCACACCCATTTTGGGTAATGACCCCCATTTGTTGAGGGTCGTGGAGCCAGGTAAGAAGACAACAATCCGATCAAACGAGTGAACCAAGGCACTGCCATTCCCTAGGCGGCCCTGCCGCCCTATTTCGCTGATTCGGGGGATACGGGCGGCTTATTCTTTGGCCCACCCCCCCCTCCTGATTCAATAGGCCAAAGGCAAAAACTCCAAGTTTATGGGCTCAAAGTTTGTTCGATACTTGGGTGGCTTATGTTACCAAATCCCCCCTCCCCCAGAGCCCCCATGGTCTTCTCGTCCCGTCCATCGCAGGCCTTGACGCAGCAGCAGGTAAGAGAGTCGTGCCAGACTGGGCAGGCCCCAGCTGCTCAGCGCTTTTCGCTGCACCGCCTGCGCTCCATCCACTGCTTCACAATTAGCGGCTCGCTCGTCAAGCAGGAGGCTTACAAGGGAAACCAAAAGGAAAGTCACCATTTCTCGGTTGCTTTCTGCTCCCCTGCTAAAAGTTTAACTTTTAGTGGGTTTAATACGGAAAACCAATTAGTTGGCAAAAAGTCAAAGTCCTAACATCCAAGCAAAAAGCAACACATATTTTGTGGGGCTCCCTGAAAGGAGGGTACACGTGTTCCGGTAATTTTCAAGGGAAACCAAAAGGAAAGGAAAGTCACCATTTTGGGGGAGGGGTTTCCCAAACAAAGACACACCACGACATCCCAGGGCTTCTACAAATTCCTATTCTGAAAGGCCCATCCTTGAAGCTGTGAGTATAGTAGGATCAGGCAACCTTATGCTACGAACACTTTGTGCGGCTTCCGTCACTTTGAAGGAACGCGAACTACTTCCCTCATGGACCAGCGTCGACCCGTGCCGTGAAAAAAAAAATCGGCCTCCAGAAAGCCGTCGTCATCCAGCTGCTCATGCCAAGTCGCCTGGCTTGCAACGAGCTGTCCGATGTACATGTCCGCCCGCGCGGGAACAGCCCGCGAATGACAGGAAAGTGACTCGCACATGCCCCACCCCTGAGGTCCGAAAAACGATGAGATCAAGACCACCCGTCTAGACGGGAAATAGGGCTAGAACCCACAAACCAAAAGGAAGCAAAGGGAACGACCAGGAAAATCTAGATGTTAGCGACTTTCCCCCGTTTATCCAAATTAGGGGAATAGAAAATCCACCCTGAATATCCGTCATCGATAGAATCCACCATACCTGTCCACCTACCCTCCCCAAAGTATTTTCTATTTTTCGTTTCAACTGGCCGAATCAGGAATCCACTTTTCGTGAAATCATATATGCCATGGTCAAAGTCCTTTTGCAAGGACACCTTGCATTAGCTGTTCTTTTGCTTGATTCCCCGTCCTTTTTCGGCGTTTCTGGAAAGGATCCCGGAAAGAATGGGGAAGGTACAGCCCTCGAGCTTCAGAGCTAACAGAGGATGACTAATTTCCCTGATTGACTCGGTGGGGTGCCCCATGTGGCAGCCTGCTCCTGTTGTTGGGCAACAAAAATCCCGGCGTCGGGGGAGTTAGGGGGTTGACGTCGAAACGCGGCCGGCCGCTCTTGTTCGCTTGGGCCCTTTTTCTTCGTGGAGGGAACTCTCCGCTTGCACTCCTAAGAAAAATTCGGGACTTGTACACGCATATGGCGGCCATATTGGTCGTATTCCTGGTAAACCTTTGGGGGTGATCGTTGGGCAGTAGAAACCATCTTAGACTACCCCCTCTTGCGAATATCCGTTTATATTTCCGTGTATCATGCCAACCTGCAAAAACGGAGGTAAATACCAATGAGAAAAAACATGTTGTTTTCACACGAATACCCGAACAAAAGAGGGCACTTGGGCCATTGGAGGGGTCTTAGTGGAGACTTTCCGGGCTTGGTGTTCTCCCGCAAAATCATCCAGTCTCCCTCTCAAACATTAGAGCACTCAGCAAACAAAAATTAAGGGCAAAAAGGAACAAACATGTTATGACCTGCTGGTTGAGTTTTGCCTTGCTGGTGCGATGTGTAGGGAATGGGAACTGGAATGACCCCAAGAAAAGAATCACTTGTGGCTTGCCGCTAAGGAATTGGGTTCGTTCCAACTCGTTCCCTGCCTAGCAAGATTCGGCGCCCCTTCGCCCCTCCCAGCCTCCGGCACCGAAATCACCGAGGGCAAAGGCGCCACGTCCGGCACAACGAAGCTAGCACTGCCCGCGGCCAACACCTCAAGCCGTGCACAAAGCGCTTGGCCTACGTGTGTTTGCCCACGTGGTACTGCTACTTTAGATATACACATGACATGTGAAACATAGGCATAGCTATATTAAAACGTTGATGCGTCTGTATATGTGTATATGTATATATATATATATATGCATACAGGGGGGTGTAAGCAAACCCCTACACCCTTTTAATTCACCCTCAACACCGTCACCGTTACTATTTCTTCCTTATCGCTTTACAGGTCATTGGAAGCATCGGTCTTGCCTGACACTCTGTAGTTGTGGTAGTAGTCGTAGTCGCCGTCGTAGTAGTAGTAGTAGTAGTAGTAGTAGTAGTAGTAGTAGTAGTAGTAGTAGTAGTAACAGCAGGAGTAGAAGTGTCCCATGTCAGGGATGCACAAGTCAAGACGACTTGTTCCCGAAGAGGACATGGTAAGTTGAGTGAGTTCCCCCATGTCACTCCTAACCGAACCTCCTCTTGACTGTGCCTGTGCATGAGTCCACCTGGTATCACCTGGTAACATCCTGACAGACTACGCCAGGGCTAAATCACTAGACTCCTTTTCCTAGTTACACATGTTGCCTAGGTCCTCCGCTAAAGGATGGAATAAGGGTACCCGTTTTTTCTGTAGTCTATTCTAGTAGAGGAACCCTAGGCACCCAGCTGGGGGATCATTTACCAGGGTTCCAGCCTTTTCCACTAAACCAACCAAAAAGGTTCGTCGCTTTTCGCCGGGGGATCATTTAGCAGGGTTCCAGCTATGGGGTTTCCCGATGATTGATAACAGCCAGAGAGTCAACTAAATGGTCTGCCTTGTTCTTCTGAACTTAAGCAGATCCTCTGAGAGAACCTCAATGGCAAGCCAAGGTTTTTCCCGAATCGGTGCCATTGCCAAAGACTTGAGCCCATGTTCTTCCCAAGCACCTGGGTTGAAGCGGTAACATGGAGAAGGCGGCTTCCGAACGACGCGACCACCCCGAAATCTGGGCTCAAACCGACAAACAAAGGAAAGGTCTGCACTAGGCTGTCCTCAGATCCCCCGCTAAAAGTGACCAACTTTTAGTGGGCTAAGTGGAAAACCCCACTATCCACTAAAAAGCCAAGGAACCTGAGGACTGGGAGCCACCAAGTGTATACGGATTTTTCTTAAAATCGTGGACCCGTGCCGGCCATGGCGTGCGTCCTTTTCGTTTCCCTTTAACACCCTATTTTTCGAGGAGTATACCTCCCCCATTCTTTCCAGGCATGACCATTGGAGAAAACCACCCAAAGATGATATGTCCCCTTAAATTGGAAAGGTTACCCACGGTCAAAACTGGGGCCGAAGGGAATATTGATCACCCCCCACGTAAAGAATAATTGTGTTATGATCTTGGCTGCTGTTGACCCTCCTGAAAAAAGTGCTCAACTTCTTGTGGTTTTGTTGTCAGCCCTTGCTTTCAACCAAAAAGTTAAAGTCTAAACATCCCACCCAATAGCAGTCAAGCTTTACAACTCCCAAGCAAGGCGTCCGCCATTTTGAGAAAACCCTCGATCTGGCGGAAAAGAGCGCGTTCATCGCTTCGCATGCGAAAAGAACGACCGGGGAAAGAACAAAAAAGACAACGACCGCTGAGCCCAGGAAATAGACCCGGCGATTTGGGCCCCCTCCCAAAGCGATCCGTGTGGAACTTCAGAATGAGACACTCGCTTGTTCATCAACCAGAAAATATAGTTTCAACATTTGGATGAGCTTGCAAGAACAACTTTGCTTTTGCAGGCAGGCCCCCTACTAAAACAAGAACAGAACCAAAAAAAAAAAAAACGTGATCCAGCAACAGTGAAGATCTCTCTAATCAACTGGCTTGCTGTAAATTCAAAACCTCAAGTTACACCCTCCCAAGGTACGAGAAGGAATTCAGTGATATGCAGCCATTGCAATTGCAGCAGGACACTGATCATGTCCGCTCACCTTTTTACACGTGATGTTGGCTCACCATGGGCCTGATCAAAAGGTCCTTTACATGGGATGACCATTGGAGAAAACCACTCAAAGATAATATGTCCCCTTAAATTGGAAAGGCTACCCATGGTCAAAACTGGGGCCGAAGGGAATCTTGATCAACCCCCACGTAAAGAAGAATTGTGTTATGATCTTGGTTGCTGTTGACCTGCAAAAAGTTTTAACTTTTTGGGGGTTTAGTGGAAAACCCCTTGATTTCCTAAAAAGTTATAAAGTCTCAAGATGCGTTACCCAATAGCAGTCAAGGGATGACAGCTAAAACGCAAGGAAGGCGTGGAAGGAGCTAGGCCTTTTCCCACAATGCCTGCCCAAGGAGCGCTCCGTGAGTAGTACTTGTAGATGCAATCCTGGCGAAGGGACTAGCGACCAACATGCCCAACCGCCATTGGCTTGTTCGCCCTCTGGAAAAAAAAGGAGAAACTATGTCCAGTAGTCATAGATTTCCTTTAAAACCCAAGAGACGCAAATAAAAAGCATTCATTTCAGCATTGCCACGATTCTTTGGCATAGGTGTCCTTGTCAAGTCCCATCCCACAAAGGAAACATGTTTGCCTCGCTTCGGCACTAACCAACCACGCTCTGGATGTCCATTATTCCCCTGATTGTAATACTTTGCGCATCGACCGTCGGACAGCTTTCTTCTGCACTTGCGGGGGGGGGGGGGGCGGTTCCCCGGTACTTACTGCAAGTGAGACTCCATTCATGCCCACTACGAGGAAGTACTTAGGGCAGCCGTCCTGTGGAAGGACGGGATGGATAAAACCTTATAAACATCAGGCTAAGCCACCTAATGTCGACCCAGGATTAATAAACCCGTCCCATGATTAGGGGGGTGTTCCCTCCAAAAGTGGTCTGAATCCCCACTAAAGTGGGACACCCCCCGATCAAAATCAATCAGGGGTTCTACTTAGATCCGGGGTTAACATTACCGACTGGTGCGATGCGGATGTTCTCCATCCACAGCACCACAAAAGTGGGCGAAGTTCCCACAACGCTGGTCGCACCCCATCAGAGGGTGTCTCGGATGTGATCACACTGACATTGCAATCGCGCGTACGGCTTTGGTCGCAGTCTGCCCATGCTTTCGGTACTCGTATTGAAGCATAACAAATTCCTACAAAAGACACAGTATATTTGGATTCGGATGAACCACATACATGTCAATTTACAAACTTCGCCCATCAGGAATGCTT